ATATAAGGTTGTCGTAACTTATGATAGCTTAGCACCCTTGGCTGATGTAATTATCTGGACTTTTTTTGTTCATTGTAATGTACTTTAATACCGAAAAAGATGTAATTCTCAGGTTGGTGATTAAGTACCCTATTTTTTATCTCATTGTTCTCTTTCTTAAGAAAGTTGTATTTACATGTACGAGTACAGATCCGACAGAAACCAAAAAACTTTTGAAAAAACTTGTCGTTAAAGGTTAATGGAGGTTTGGGAACAACAATAGGATGTGCTTGTCCAAAGTATGCATTTGGTTGTTTTTCAACATATTTCGTGATTTTGTCTCGTATAACTGAAATGCAAAAGAATATGCTATGACTCTTATCATAGCTTGTTCATTAAAGTTATCAAAATTTATTAAATCTGATTTCCTAATTTAAAACTTTTGTTTGTGGCGATTCTACCCTTTTTACTGATGCTAAAATTATCACATACATACTTGAGTCGGTGACCTGAGAAACTGCTATTTGGACTGGTTAGTTTCTATGATGCACCGAGGAATGCGTTTGAAATTTACCCCAACATAAAAGGTGATTTCCAAGAGGAATTCCTAATGAGTAGTCTTAACATCCAAAGAGTGCAATATAACAGAAAATGGATTAGATGGTCTCATATACTGGTGGGTTGTTTCAAATTAAATGTGGATGGTGCCAGTAAGGGGAATTTTATTGTAGAATTTGATTCTAAAATTTTGGTAGCTGGTTAATATGATTAATTGTCAATGCATGCCTAGCTAGAAGATATGGTATATATGGCTTAGGTTTCAAAGACTCCTGCATGGTTAAAATTTTGTGATGAGAAATATTTATCGAGAAGGGAACACAGTGGCAAATTTTTTCACAGGTCAACAACTTCACCATGATTTCCTTGGTTGTTTAAACATGCGTAAATCCATCTAAGAGATATTCTCAAAAGTTGGTGATATGAGATTCCTAATTGAATAAGAATTCAGCTCCAGTTGGGATGTTCACAAGGACCTCAAAAAGATGCTTGGATGTTTTCTTTTTTATGGTTTAATTTTCTTATTTTATGAATTGTATGCATTTTGGTTTTTAAAAATATTTTATATTTTTGAAATGATGTAGCTTAGAATGCATTTGAGGGGTAGAGCTCATTCCTTCCCTCTTACTAGGTGTAATTTTTTAAATGATTAATAAAATTGCACCCTCGACTGTCGAGGTTTAACAAAAAAAAATGTATAGATTGTTACCACAATATTTGGGATCTAAGGTATGCCTTTTGATAGATTATATGATTTTAGGATCAATGGGAGATGGGTTTTGGTGTAAACTTGTTATTAAAATGGAAGATTGAATTTTTAGGGTGGTAAAAGACTTGACTTGTATGCTTTGTGTGTTGCCTTAGATTATTTGTGGGTTGAGACCTGGAAAAAGAAGGTGTTCTTAAACTTAGCTCTATTCATTGTTTGTTTGTGGAAGGAAATGAAATTGTTTATTGGGCTTTTTCTTTGCTCTCATAACGTCTTAGTTCTGGAATTAGGAAAGTGGCACTAGACATGAACTCAATTATTGCCTAACAAAAAACTATTGTTCATTGTTCAACAAAATGTCAAAGGACTGGAACACCTTCTATGACTTTATTCTCTGTCACACTTTTGCATATACGTCTTGCAACTTCATATATTACCTCACAAAGTTAAGATCTCAAAGTTTGCGTACTCTTTCATGTTCTGTGATGTATTTAAAAACTTGGCAAGTTTATTCAAGATCTGGCCGACATCAAAGATTGACATTGTAGATTCTTGGTTGGACTTTTTCTATAGAGTTGTACGTGACTATAGATAATTGGCTAATTCGATAAATATTATTACATCTTCTTCATATCCACATGGAAGGATTAATTATGGATTATTATGGTGAATGCCTTCAATGTGGGTACCACCATACCAGCTTCATGTTGTTGTTACAACCCCGTCAATGATGGAATTGAATAAAATACTTGATGAACATTTATCTAACCACTCCCCCCTTTTGTAACTAGTTATAGGTAATGGATTTGGTGCCTATTAGTTTATCTATGTTTGCTTCCATTTGTTGTATGTTATTGCCATGTTTAATTGAATCCAACATGAACATGTTTTTTCTTGAAATTTTATTTGTTTTGTCAAACATTGCTACTGTTCTAGGAGGATTGAGGTTGGATACTTTTTTTTTTCCCGAAATGTAAGGTTGGATGAGTAGTAATTGATAGTTTAATGATTAGAGACATTTGAACTGAGAGTTGTTATTGGGCATTTTTAATGCGTCACTATGTTATGAGTTCTTTATTTTTGATCATTCTATCTTTTTTCTCTTATGTTATGTGGATTTTGTAACTGGATTGATTGATTCTTAAGGAATTTTTCAAACTTTCTTGATATTATATGTTTATTTTTTTTATAATACTTTTCCATTTTTTCCTATTTTGTGATGGCTTTAATTTTGTTTTTGATGTTACTTTAATAATATATATGAACTTATTACAAACATGAAATCTAATTTAAGATAGTCCACACACAATGGGTGTGTGCACCAACTAGTTTATAAAAAAGTGGCATCATCATGGTGCTCATAACTTCACTAAAAACTGAATTCAGCAGATCGAATATGTACCAGAAGCCCAAAGTAGCACATAATTAATATTTGAAGTCATGTAGTTTTTGTTTTTGGGATCTAGACCCTTCTCATTTCATAGCTCAACATGAAGCAAAAAAAAAAATTGTAGTTAATCATAATACGGATTCATATCAACTACAATTCATCTATATACATCTGAACAAAGTCATTGATCTAAAGTTGCATTAGTAATGATCTAGGTGTTTTCACAACTTCTGGGGCTTTATACAGAAGTTCTAAAAATTAACCATAAATCATACAAGCCTCCCATTAATAGGTGGTTCAAGAAATGTGAAAACCAAACAAATATTAGGAAAGACTCGTGAATGGTGCAATTACTGAGTTATCAACAAAAGGTAAACCCATCACTTAATTAGCAAGCCCTCATCTATAGCAATTTAACATTCAACTGATTTATCAATAATGAGGCAAAAATGCACGCATACCCTCACCCAAACTTTATATCATTACATATTAAAATTCGAGAAATATCTGGCCTTTACATGATTGACAAAAATATTTAGAGTTCATGTCAAAATATTTCTAAGCTAATATCAGTTCTCAGATCCAATCCAACGCCGCATTTCACTCTACAAACCTAAGTAAAATGCATACGATTCCACCCAATAATTTGAACTAAATGACAGTTTTCAACTGGTAAATCAATAATTCAAATATACTCAATTTAATATCATCTCCTTACTATATGTAAAAAAAATCCGTTAGATTAAAAAATCAATATAGACGTCTAACAAAAGTCAAAATTAAAAAACATGAACATTCCCTTTGAAATTGTCTACATACCAGAAAAGGACGTCTGAAAAATTTTCATCATGCATGCATCACAAATCCAGAAAACAAATCTTGCATTGAAATGATAGAACAGGATTTGGCAAACCCATTTGATGTAGAGCACAACCAAACCTACAAAACAATCTTTCAACATTTCAAAGAGAATCAAGAAGTCCAATTCACATCCTCGTGAATATAGCACACCCCTGAGAATTGAATTCAGNAGATGATAGAACAGGATTTGGCAAACCCATTTGATGTAGAGCACAACCAAACCTACAAAACAGTCTTTCAACATTTCATAGAGAATCAAGAAGTCCAATTCACATCCTCGTGAATATAGCACACCCCTGAGAATTGAATTCAGCAAACGTTAACCGTGAAGGAGCACCCCAATCGACTATTGAGAGAGAGAGAGAGAGAATCAGAGCAGCGAGATGAAGGGAAACGTCACCCTTTAACCNCGTTAACCGTGAAGGAGCACCCCAATCGACTATTGAGAGAGAGAGAGAGAATCAGAGCAGCGAGATGAAGGGAAACGTCACCCTTTAACCATTGCTCAATGATAATTTATGTATTTGAAAATAGGACATAATAGTTTTTATAGGGACAAAATGGAAAATTTTCACTTTATACTATTGTTTAGGGGTATTTATGGTATTCAAAATTTTGTTGGTTTAGTAGCTTTTAGAAGTACTAGTTGGTACACACGTGCGTTGCATAAACTCATTTCTAGCTTTAATTATATAGACTCATTATTCACGATTAGAAGATATAATGATAAATAAAGGTATACATGAAAAAACATATTAACATTTTCCATAGAGTATTTAGGGAAACAAGAAAAGAGCCAAAAACAAATAAGTATTTTTTTTTGTCTTGTCATTTTAATTGACGTAAACAAATAATGAAGATTATATAATTGTTTTTACCTAAATTACAAACTATCTAGATAGGCAATTAAAAAGAGATCAAGAAATAATGAGACACACATTTAAACAATCAATCTATGACATGACTAAATTCCCAGGAAACTGTTGTTCAATTGAGTAACACAAAAAAGTTGTGATCCTACACTCATCCACTAAAGAGTGGTGTGAAAAAAATGTGCTATTATTATATTATGAACTTTTTATATGTTTTTGGGTTTTTCTTTTTCTCTACTGTGTTTCCTTTGTTTTCTTCCCTTAATACCTTTTAACAATAAAATCTATTGAAACACCTCATCACCTCTTGATGCTGCTTCAAAACACTTAGTGAAGTTCCCCAATCATGATTTGGATTTCACCGAAGTTATCAACAAAACTAACTGAATTAAATAAAAGTGACCATATATTTATAAAAAGTGGAACACAAACCTTTGGAGGTTGGAAATGACTTATCACAAGATTTAATAATTGATTCTAAAAAAATCAAAATTTTGCAAAAAGAAAAAAAATAAACATATAGTAAACACAATGAACAAGAACACTAGAGTACTCGTTGCGATCTAGTCTCCATGAGTTTAAAACTTGAACCACTGAATCAATATCCTGGATGAAATCAAAGCCATGACACATGGGTCTTCGAAATGAATTTCTATGAGCAGTAAACTTATCAGATTTAAGCAACCGTAATGCTTGACTAATATATAGGACATTACCTTCCCATAATACTCCAAAAGAAATCCGATTAGGCTATTGTAAGTAACTGCTTCATAGAAACCAATTTTGAACATTGTTCAGAATTACATATTCCATATAAGCTATTAATAATGGTCATTTAGAAGTACAGTGTCTAGTGAGCCACAAAGAGGCAATTAGGCAACAAGATCAACAGAGTATCTAAATAGCTTTTGTCTGTGTTAAATGAAGAACGATCACTGCCCATTCAGGAAGAACAAAGAGTAAAACAACTGGTAAATGAAAAGACTACTACAAGGGGAATGGAGAAAAGAACAAACCCACCTGATAAAGGGTACTGGTCTGATAAGGGGAGTTCTATGAGTGTAAGATGTGGCAGAAGTGATTCAAAGTGGATGGATAAGAATTTTGTAGAAGATTTTGAGCCAAATTCCTCAGATGAGGATTATGTGGATCAGATCTTTAGGCGTAAGCCCAAAGGTAAGATTCCTCTTTCATTTCATGATTAGTTTTTTTTGTCATGGAATGTGAGAGGGGCTGGGAAAGTCTCTTTGCGCAGGAGACTTAGAAAAATTGTAAGAATGAATGATGTCTGTTTGATGTCGATTCAGGAGCCTAAAATGGAGGGAAGGAAGTTACAGGGGTTAGCAAGGGGATTGGGAATGTCTCATTATTTTTTTAATCCCCTAGCTGAAAGAAATTTATGGTTACTCTGGGATGATAGAGTGCAGATGCAGAAAGTGGCACTCATTCTTTACAGGAGAGTCTATTTTCTGTTATTCCTTCTTTAGTTACTGATGAAATGAATGGGTTGTTGCTGGCTGAAGCTTTTGTAAAGGAAGTGAAGTCTGTTTTTTTCTCGATGTCTGTGAAGAGTGCAACTAGAGTGGATGGTTATTCTAGGAAATTTTTCCAGGAAGCCTGGGAGATTATAAAAGGAGATGTTTTAAGGGCTATTAATTTTTTTCTAAGGGGTGGTAAGGTGCCAAGGTCAGTGAATGCTACTACACTAGTTTTAATACCAAAGAAGACTGATCCTGTGGCATTTACAGATTATAGGCCAACTAGCTTATGTAATTTCTTATATAAGATTTTTACTAAGCTGTTGGCTATTAGACTTGCACCTATTCTTCCTTTAATAGTGTCTGAAGAGCAGCATGGGTTTGTTAAAGGAAGGAATGTTGGGGATTGTGTGGTTTTAGCACAGTTCATGGTGGAGAATTTGGATAGGAGAGTGGAGGCTGGGAATGTTATTTTAAAGCTTGATATGATGAAAGCCTATGACAGGCTGGAATGGGACGTCTTGTTTAAAACTTTATCATGTTTTGGGTTTTCTGAATTATTTGTCAATATTATTGCAAATTGTTTAGAAACCCAGTTTGTTTCGGTAAGTGTAAATGGTCAGAGAGTTGTTTTTTTCCTACCACCAGGGGGTTAAGACATGGAGATCCAATCTCTCCTTGTTTGTTTATCCTTGCTGAAAAGGTCCTTAGTACAGGGATGAGGAGATTATGTTTGGAAGGAAAAGTGGGTAGCTATCACCTGGGAAGAGGTTCATCTTTAGTTAGTCATCTCTTGTTTGCGGATGATACATTGGTATTTCTTAGAAGGGATAGGAGATCTATGAAGAATTTGCTGATTTTTTTGGAGAGTTATGAAGGTAGTTCTGGGCAGAAAGCCAGTGTTCAGAAAAAGTTCCATGTACTGTTCAAAGCTGATCTCTGCTAGCAGGAGGTTGGAGTTGTCAAATTTAGCAGGTATTCCAATTAAGCAGTACCCCTTTATGTATTTGAGATGTCCTATTATTAAAGGGAGAGCTAGAATCAGGGATTTTGAAGAGGTTTTGGCTAAGTTTAGAAGCAGATTGGAGGGTTGGTATTCCAAAATGCTTTCAAACATGGGTCGAATTTTAATGGTGAAGTATGTTCTAAATTCTGTTCCCATTCATATTCTGGCCCGTCATAACTTACCTAAAACTATTATTCATAGAATGAATGCTATGATGGCTGGCTTTATCTGGTCTAATAAAATGGAGGTGAGAAAGAGGCATTGGGTGTCTTGGAATAAGGTTACGTTACCTAAGGAGGAGGGGGGATTAGGTGTGAGGAGGTTTGAAGATTTACAGCTGGCTTTCCGAATGAAACAAGTGTGGAATTTGTTGCAGAAATCCTCATTATGGGCTAAGGTCTATTCTACCAAATTTCTATAGGGTAAACATTTGCTGAGATGTGTAAGAGGGGGACATTCTATGTGTTTGAAGGTCTTGCGGCCTTTCTTTGAGATTGTGTTATTAAATTCCAGAGTACTGTTGGGGAGAGGTGATCATACTGACTTCTGGTGTGATTTGTGGTTAGGAGATAGGCCTTTGCTCTTTAGGATAAAGGGTTTGCCTCTGGTATTTCCTAAGGTCAGCGAGTTGTATGTTAACTCAGTTTGGCAATTGGGGACTGTTGAGCACCTGTTAGGTGAACAGTTAGTTGCTGAGATTAAGAACTGTGGGGCTTTTCTTTCTAATTCAGATGATAAATGGATTTGGCAGTGTTCCAGTTCTGGTTCTTTTTCTGTCAAAACTGCATGGCAATTGGTTAGACATCGGGAGCCAGGGGGAAAGGAATGGGGTTGAAAAGGTTATATGAGATATAGTGACTGCTCCAAGTGCACAGCTTTTGTGGGTTGGAAAATTTTAATGAATGCCTTACATATTGATGCCAGGATTAGGAATTGTGGTGTCTCTATGGTTAGCAGATGTTCTCTGTGTTTAAGTGAAGAGGAGACTTCTGTACATTTGTTTGTGGATTGCTTTTATGCTAAGGTAATATGGAGTAGGTTGGTGAGTATGGCTGGCTTTCCGCTTATAGAGGGGGAGTTGGAGTTGGTGAGAATGAAGAGAATTTGCAGAATTTTTAGGAAAAAGTCTCTGGGCTGCTCTCTTGTAAGAAGTTTGGCATTGTTAATTTACTGGTTGGTTTGTAAAGAACGGTGTAGGAGAAGAGCTGGAGAAGGTCCTATTAATTCCTATTCTGTTTTCCTTAAAATCTGTAGCTTGTTGAGATTNACTAATGCAACTTTGAGCAACAACACTCCAACATATGCTTAAAAAACCTAAAACCAGAAAAAAAAAACACATACTTTTGATTTAGATCAAGCCTGTCAAGCAACGTGGTTAATTATGTCCCTCATGATAAAAAAAAAACATAAAATTATCTCTCCCTAAATTTGAAGAACGAAGCAGCACAAAATGTATAGGGGCAAGGGTCCAATATGGTACATGGAAGTAATACNGAGCCAGGGGGAAAGGAATGGGGTTGAAAAGGTTATATGAGGTATAGTGACTGCTCCAAGTGCACAGCTTTTGTGGGTTGGAAAATTTTAATGAATGCCTTACCTATTGATGCCAGGATTAGGAATTGTGGTGTCTCTATGGTTAGCAGATGTTCTCTGTGTTTAAGTGAAGAGGAGACTTCTGTACATTTGTTTGTGGATTGCTTTTATGCTAAGTTAATATGGAGTAGGTTGGTGAGTATGGCTGGCTTTCCGCTTATAGAGGGGGAGTTGGAGTTGGTGAGAATGAAGAGAATTTGCAGAATTTTTAGGAAAAAGTCTCTGGGCTGCTCTCTTGTAAGAAGTTTGGCATTGTTAATTTACTGGTTGGTTTGTAAAGAACGGTGTAGGAGAAGAGCTGGAGAAGGTCCTATTAATTCCTATTCTGTTTTCCTTAAAATCTGTAGCTTGTTGAGATTTCATGTTAAAAACATAAAGCCTAAGTTGATGGATAGGGAAAGAGGAAGGTGTTTACTGCTCTTGTTAGGGATTAATGTGCCTAATGTGATCAGAACTAAGGCCATTTGGGTTTGCTGGG